GTGGCTGTTAACCAAAAGCCGGTTAGGGGCAGTGTGATGGGCCGATGTTGTTGGACGACAGCGCGTTTATGCATCAGGGCTCCGCCCACTGTACCCATACAGTCCAATAGATGGCCGAGCCTGTGTAAGATATAACGAGGGGTTACGTATTGTAACCCTAGTTATATAAGCACAGGCGGAGCCCTCTACTCGGGGCCCTGTCTGTCCTATGCTGCTCGCTGAAGAGGGTGTAGGATGGCAGTCAGGAGGCGGGGCCGCCTTTCATACGGTGAGCTTGCGCGCGCATTCAGGTAGGCCCGCCCCGGGGGCCAGCTACGTTTATAGACAGGGTTCATACACCTTTTCACCAATGATTTTCAATAGAGGCTTCTCAATACTCTAATTTCCCCTCCTCGACTCCTCGGTCCTCTGGTAGTGACCCGGAAATGGATTTCAGCGCGCCATGTTGAAGGACATCTAATTTCTCTAAATACACATCGAGGACCAAGTATCCAGCATCGAGGGGGCTCTCTGGAGGAGCTATAACCGAGGATACACTGATGGGTCCTCCACGGATGCATTTCCGGGAACGGTGGAGGCGTGACGCACGGCCGGACTTATCTCAGCCAATGACAGCTCTGCATGCATCCCCTGGATATTATTTTAGTAACTGCTTTCATCTCGACGCGATGTTTACAGTGAGAACAGCTGTGAGGTCCGTGCAGAAAGCAGAGCAGTGTGTATAATATATATCACTCAGTATAACAGGCCTACATTACTCTCTGTATTTGTATGCTGTAGTTTAGTAGATATCTACAAACAAAGAGTCAATATTTTTCTAAGACCATTTAGTGCTTCACATAATAAAATACACAACGGCTGTAGCCTGATTATATGCTTTAGGAGCTGCAGGTGTGTGTGGTACAGTGTGTAGGTGTGTGTGGTACAGTGTGTAAGTGCGTGTTGTACAGTGCATAGATGCGGCGGACAGACGGGTCTCAGTTGGTTTGGTGTCCTATGCTTACTTTTAATACTTGTAAATACAACTTTTGGCCCGTAATTTCAATTCCCCATTTCAGCGACCAGAAAGAGGGGGGGGGGTATATCCAGTCTCTGATAGTGTTACGTTATTATGAGAGTGCTCTCATACATCTTTAGTTAAATTTCCATGACTTTTCCAAAACTTTGGGAAAAATATTGCTTTCCATAACTTTTAATTTCATTTTGAATTTCCATGACTTTTCCAGGTTTTTAAGGACCGTAAGAACCCTGTACAGATATCTCAGTAGGTGAATGCTTGCATGGTATGGTTGAGAGGTAGTACCCATAGAGTGGCCATAGAGTCCAGTAGAGGGCTCCACCTGTGCTTATATAACTAGGGTTACAATACGCCTCGTTATGCTTCCAGGTCTAAATTAATGGCTGCAAGTAGAATTGATAGTGTGGCAATATTTATAATGATTAATAATGAAAATACAAATAAAAACCTTTAGGTAAAAACTGATATTTCCGTCCACTTAATGTTGCTGATTTTTCTTTTATGAGGTCAGTATGGTAAATTGCAACATACTGTATGTTATCGCAAGTATCTTATTGTCATTGTATCGTGATCATTTGTATTATTATATTTTTCACATTTGTTTTAATCAGAAATAAATACAATTACCCTTTCTACCTAAATCTTACTAATAGCTATCAGTGTATACCAGGCTTTACAGTTTTAAATGGCCTTTCTCAGCAATGCATCATTAAGTCTATGGTCAAGAAGAAGGCCTCACCGAAGAGCAGAGTTTGGCTTCCTCTAGCTGGGTCTGCAGCTCGCCCACTCGGCCCTGACAGAGGAGTAGCTCCTCCTGCTGCTGACTGATCTTCTGCCGCTTCCCCTTCAGGCTCCCCAGGCAGCGCTGCATCTCCCCCCGCAGCAGCCGCATAGCTTCATCTTTGGGCAGCTTGGAGTCCGACAGGTGAGCCAGGGCGGTGCTGAACAAACAAAATGGATAGATTTAGATTGATAGGAGAGGTGGTTTATCCTCGCACTCATTAGAAAAAAGTCAAAATAACAAAGACATTATAATGATGTCAGTGATTTGGCTTCATTATCATGGTGTACCTGTGAAGCAAGCCGTTCTTCCTGTTTGCTTTCTTTAGTCCTAAATCTACACAGGAGTCAGACAGCTGGTTGTTCCAGTCGCTGCTCTGCTCTAACGCAATAACACCGTGCTTCACAGCAGATTCATAAATCATGATCTGCTCCTTTAACTCCGCCAGATCCTCCTGTAGGATACAAATAAAATAAGAAAAGTTTGAATCAACTTAGTTCAAGCACAGCATCATTTCAGTAATCCTTTTTCTGATGGTGGTTCCATTCAGGTGCAGAAAAGAGTGAGGGCAAACCTGGAGGACTGTGTTCATGTTTTCACTCAGCGCTTTGGTTGATTGAGCCTGTTGTAGTTTGATTTGTATCTGACTCATCTCCTGCACTGAGCCTAAAGAAATAGAACCACAACAAAGAGGAAACAATGATTTGCAAATAAGAAAACAGAAGATGCTCTTTCGAGTACATGCAGTCCAGATTCTATCACCTGTCTGCAGCAGCTTGGCACATTGTTGCTGACTCTCCTCCAGACGCTGAGTCAGCGCGTTGACCACTCTGGCTCTCTCCAGCTGCTCCTCTTCTCTCTGGCGCTCCAGCTGCTTCACATGCTCCCGTAACCTCTGATCAACATCAATCTGGAATCAACAACACAAGAAAACAGGTGTTGACTATGTCTGCAGGCCACTTGGACTAAATCTCCTGTGACAGCAGCAGTAGAGACCTGTTGGTTCAGAACCTGAGCGGTAGACTCTAGTTTCTGCTGTAGTGTGAGCAGCGCTGCCTCGTGCTGCTCCTTCATGACGGTGAGGTCTCTGTCGTGCTGCTGCCGCGTCTTGGACAAAGTGTCAGAGCGACAAAGCTCCAACATCTGGAGCTTCATGCTGTCCAACGCAGCCTCTGCTACTCTCTGCTTCCTCGTGTTCTGCAGACAAAAAGAAGCTACTGTATACCAAATCCATTTCAGTCATAGGGTTGAAATGAAGATAATACAACTTTTTCCATGTTTCAGAAAACGACACTAGCAGCAAATTGGATTCTTTTTTCTTTCATCCTTAATAGAAGATGACCTGGTGCTTTGTATTTAGCTTTAAACATTTAAGACGATGAAAAGGGGAAAACAGTGGTGCTCAGAACGTACCTCCTGGTCTCTCTCAGTGAGGACCTTTACTTGCTGCTCCATTGCCCTAAATGTATTCAGCATTTGAACCTCTCTCTCCTTGGCCTCTTCAACCAGTTGACCCGATTCCGTCAGGCTTACTGCTAGGCCATCCTTTTCATCTATTGATGATAAAAAAAAAAGAAATCATGTTTCCACAAGAAGCACATCCAGCTAGAGCTCAAAACACAGACTGTGTCTGTGGATACTGCCAACCCTCCTAACAGCCACAAGAGGGCAGGTTTTTTAATTAATTTAATCAAGTTCATATATTGGTAGATAACCAGCCACTGTTTTTTAAACTTGGATTTAAAAAACAATCTCATTTGGAAAGTGTCAAAAACAATGGTCAAAAATTGGAAAAAAACGATTCTTTCAAATTGAAAGTCCCTCATTATCCTACAGGCAGCTTAGAGTGATAAGTATTTATTCACAGTTTAAGTGATTTGTTTGATTTCCAAAATAATACATGTAAGAAATTGGAACAATATATAATAACTTTCAACATCATTATATTTAAATCCTGCAAGTATCACAAAATAACAAAAAATGACATGAGGTTACATGGGCCATTGCCCATGTAACCTCATGTCATTTTTAGTGAAACATTTTGCATCCTCCTTTGTGTAAATGACGTAACAAAGTTAGCTTAATTAAAAAAGAATAACACAATTAATGTCATAGTTCAATTAGATAAATAAATACTTTATTTCATGTTATTTTATAATCGTTAAATATGGCATGATTTAATACAGTTTGTTTTACATGTTAAACCGATATGCGTATGTGTTTCTTGTGCCTAGGAACTAATGTTTGTTCATGTGCTGGTACTGCGTGTTTTGTTGTTACACTGTACAACTGTACAAGAAAAGGAACTAGATTCATCTCCTTTCACGACAAGCGACCAACGAGGAATTTGTTTTGCGTTTTCATTTTCCTATTTTCATTCATATGTGTAGCACAATATGCTAATATGTTTGGCTATGTATACGTGTCATTCGGTGTTGTAGTTCTTAAGGCGTAACGGAAGAGGGGAGGCTACAGGATGAAAACTCCAAGAAATAAACGCCCGTTTTAAAGAACCGACCTGTGTCTCAACTGGTACGGCAAAATGTTAAAGTAATACGCAACCTTTTTTGTCTTCATCGATATAGGAACTTAACCCCAAATAAACAACCTAATCAGTTTGTAGCATTATGAAAAATAAAGTTTGTAATGACGGTAAGGAAAAAAAACTATAAGACTTAATTTTCAAGCCCCCGCAACTGTCTCACCAGTAAGTGTGCCGGGTCGAATGTTAGGAGTGGTAGGACGAGTATGGCGTTTACAGTGTGGTGCGCAGGTGGTTCTTCCAGTTAAACTTTGTAGACGTTTCCTCTTTAAGGACTGAGACGGGTCGCACTCGAGTGTCCCGCACAAAAATCGAACGGCGAAAGGAATCTTACATGTGCAGGCATGAGACTGAATTTACCCGTACACCGACTTGTTAGCAAAGACACAAAATTACCTCCATTCTCTACTACACAATTGTATTTACAACGACCGACTACAAAGTGCTTTGACGGACTATCCCTCGTCGCAACGGGTCCACGTCTAAAACTTGTTTCGAGTCGTCGTCTCGTTTAGCCTTCTGAACTTCGCTTTTGACCTCCTAAGGTTCCGCATTCTACTCTAATATAGCTCGTAAGTCAAACGTTAACGGTTTCCACTACAAAAGTGTGTTACACATCGAGAA